ACTAACTGAAAATTTCGTCTGTGTTAGCAAAATTTTTGCACAATGATTTTTTTCGGGTTCTCTGGCTGGTGGACTAACAGTCAGGGCACAATGCCTTCTTTTCAAATAGTTTCGATAGGATTTTTATGCGTGAGGGATCCGGGCAGTCCATCCACTTGTGAAAACCCGATGTGCTAGACAGTATGTGACACACTTAGGCGGACTATTGAGGTCTGTCAATCATTTGCGCCCAAGCGCAATATCGGACGACAGCTTGTCTCTAGTAACGAAATAGAGATAGGAAAGATAAATTAGGGTCAACTTAGTGGATTTCCTCACAGTAATTAATCTAACACGTTCCTGAGATAGCGTGATGCGCTAAAAGTTCTGAGTTGGAGGGCTATCAATTGACGGGATAATGTGTTCTTATCAGGAGCGAGAGTCATGCAGCAATATATTCTTACGGTTGTTTCTGTGACACTCCCAGCCAAACGAGATCCTAGCCGAACCTCCTTTTCCATGGAAACCTAGTCCATTGTAGTTTGATCATTCGTGTGCGGCAAGCTTAGAAGACCTTTTTAGTTTCTTCGTTTACGCGGCCGGGCCGGCTTCCGGCCTTAGTGGCTTTGTCAAGCCACGATAGATACTACATAAGTCTGCTATCATAACAAACTAATTCACACCCAAGCTGGCGTCATGAGTCCGCCATGCCGTATCGAACATGGTCAGTATTATTGTTCGTGATGGTCGACCTGTGAGGAGTTAACACCTATAAACATCTATAAAAATAATTTGCATAGACATCAATACCTTATTTCAACCCCATCACTCTAATTTGGAGGAGCATTGGGACATCTGTTGCCACAAGGTTATTTGCCACTTAGGAAAACAGACTTCACTTTGTTTTCAGATGTAAATCTAATTACTTCGTGGTTGAACCTGAATAACAAACGACATCATTAGAGCGGGTGTCACTCACTCATAAACGAACGGCGCCGTTGAAACGCACTTTAAAGCTCGACTGCCAGTAGCGACGATGTGACGGAACGGCTTGCATAGCTGAACGCACCGCCTACGCGTCGCACGCACGACGCGTTCCCCAAATCGACACTTGCCAGGTCTCACAGCAGAGAGACAGAAAGGGATATCCTAGCGACCGCATCAAAAAGATAGCACAGCTGTCCGCGGTTTATTCCAAAAGACCACCGAGTCATGTTGTTAGCTGGCAGCCACCCAAGCCACAACTGTTAGTGTATTATAGCACCATGGAAGTGTACGGTTAGTTTATAGCGAGAAGCGTATGCTAGTGGGCGCATTGGGTGACGGGTCGTGGACTTGCAGTCACTTCTTAGTCTTTTACAGGCTGATAAGCCTGCAGCCCATGTTATGCGGGCGG